CTTGTTGAGTCACTCCCAATGATCGTGCCAATTCTTCTTGATTTTGACACGAGTCTTGCTCAAGTAATGCCTCCAATTCTGCATCTTCGAAAACCTTCTCTCTTCCACCGCTATGCCGGTCTTCGACGTCAAAATCACCGTTCTTGAAGCGTTGAAACCACTCACGACACGTTCTTTCACTAATAGCGGCCTCACCATAAGTATTTGAGAGCATTCGATGAGCCTCAGCCGCAGATTTCTTCATATTGAAGCAAAAAATTAAAACCGCAAATGACGAGAATTTTGCTCGTAAACTGACATTTTCAATCGAGAATAACTTTATGATGCAGACACAAATCGACTAATGTTTCTATGGGGTTATGTTGACAGGTGCCCAAGTTTATTGTATGACGTCTATGATCTATTTATTTCGACCACCACTTACCGCTAAAGCCATCTATAGGAAAATGGTGGAAGTAAAGTTGTACACCTAATATATATATAAACATTAAAATAAAATACTTTTTAATCATTTAATGTAAAATTGATAATTAATAAACGCAATAAATAAATGATTATTAAAAGAGGGACGTAACGTGTTCTCACTTACCAGCTGAAAAACAGATTGAAAACGAATAGACCGCTCAAAAATAGTTATGATACTCACATATATTACCTTGATCAAAAAGTTCCCGGAATTCATTCAGAAAATTCAAAATACAAGTTTTACTCATCAAAAGTCATATTGTCCTCTTCAAAGTACTCCTCACCGACTGCAACGCACTTATGCCAGCTCTCGAAACACTTCTGGAACTCTATTGTCGGTATAGCCATCAGAGCCGTCTTCGATTTTTCCATTACCTCCTTTCGGCTATTAAAACGCGTTCCCCGTAATGATTTTTTCATGCCACTCATAAACGGCTGTTTTCTTTAGAGTATCACTGCCGAAACAGTTTCCCAACATTTCCAAAGTTTTCACACTATTGAATCCATTTTTAACGCAAAATTTAATACAAACTCGTTGTTGCAAATTCAATTCCATTTTTAAAACTGTAAAAAATCGAAAATACGTGCAGAGATAGATGTACTCAAGACGACGTAACTTTTACAAATGTCAAGCTATGGTCAAGCTATGGATAAAATTTGGTAGGAATGTCAATGATAGATATGGCAACTTAACCAAAAAAACAAAACTCAAATCAACTGACTCAGAGCATCACCTGGTGATAATTTCGGGAACTTTTTGATCAAGGTGGTATGTTCCTCGTTCATCTGCGGAAAAATGGTTATTGAAAACGGGCAATTTCCTCAAAAATACTCATGGCATACTCGTTTATACATTATTGTTCCTCGCAATACACCGCAAGTGTTTGTGAGTGCAAGAAAAGAGCAAAAATGGGCTAAAAACAGACTAAAAAACGGAAAAAAATTTTTATAGGGGAATCTTTAAAATCGATCTCTTGTATTTTTGTGTACAACTAGTCGTTTCGATATAATAATTTGAATGTTCGTATGAGTGACATTTTTTATGAATTTCTGCAACTTACTATTTGCGTCAATACAAAAAAAAGATGTTACATTTTTTTTGCGATACACGTGTCTCATATTTTTATCTGTAGAAGGAAATTTAAAAAAAAATAAAATGACAATGTTTCAAAGGTGCCCAGTTTGACGTAGAATACTCATAGATTTTAAATATTTTATATTGTAAATACTAACTTGCGTCAATACAAAAAAAAGATGTTACATTTTTTTCGCGAAATACGTGTCTCATATTTTTATCTGTAGAAGGTTAGCAATTTTAAATATTTTATATATATAATAAAGTCATTTAAGGAGAAATTTAAAATATTAACTTATTTTCAATGGTATAAATTAGTACAAATTTAGTTGTGTTAATTTTTGCTCTTGTATTGTTTTTTTTATGGTCCTGCCAGCTTAAATCTTAAGTTAGCAGCGCCATTGTTTTTTTTTTTTTTTTTTTGAAATGACACATAATATAAAATTGTTTTTGGCAGTACAAAATAGTACAAATTCAATCGTATTGATTTCTGATATTATTTTTCTTCTTTTATTTTGAATTGATCCTACCAGCTTAATATTAAACTAGCACCACAATTTTTTTCGAAATGGCACAAGATACAAAATTATCATTAATAGTACAATTTAGTACAAAATGAGTGCTAAAAGTTCCGATAAGTCCGATTTAATTTTGCTGATTTAGTCCTGCTATTTTTATAGAGCTTTAATTAATCAATTTTTGTATCCAATTTTGGGTAAAATAATTTCTTTTATTAAATATGATTTGAATTATAAATAAAAATTTTTGATTTAATTTTTATTAAATCTAGCTCAAATTAGTTTATAAAAAAAATATAGAGCAATCGCTTTTATACAACTTTTCTCTGCATATGCAATCGATTGAAAGTCTTAAGACCTATAGTTAGTGGTACAAGAGCATTATCAACAGTTGTGGGTTAGAATATATTAAAAAAGTTATATTTTAAAAGTACATTATATTCACAAAAATTCATTTATTATGTTGTGCAATCACTATTTTCATTAATTATAGCTTGTCATCATGCTTTTCATGAGACATGCTTTTTACGAGATTTTCATAAATGTAAAAATGACATCGATCAATGAATTGGCATTCCCAATCTCCGGACGCAAATTTGATTAAAAATATCTCGTCAATCATGAAAATAAAGTTTTGAGAAACATATTTATTTTAAAAGAATTATTTTGGCACATCAAAAGATTGAAGGTTTTAATTCGGAATTCTATTCTGAAAATCACAAGATATAATCAATAATAAATGGTGATTAAATATCACACTATGTATTTTAGTGCATGTAATGTATACTAACAATATTTAAGATATAACTTCAATTTTTAATATACTCGGTTTTTTTTTAAAGAACTGCTGATTTTGCTCTCATGCTATTGACTATTAAAATATAAAACAATCATACATTTGAAATGTATTTTTCTAAATAGCTCTATACTTTTATATCCCATTGGAGTTTACAATATATTTTTTATTTTATTTTTATACATTATATTTAATTTTTGTTAAATCAGTATAAAATAATACTTAATTAATAATTAAGATGATAAAAAATAGTTATAAAATAGAATTATCTAAACATCTGCGTAATTGATACATATACAATATAATTTACAATCATTCTTTAAATAAAAAAAAATGTTAAAAATAATTACATTATAAATTTACGTACAAATTTCCAGCATATCAAGATATCTTTAATTGATGCCTATTGAGCATTAAAATTTAATGATATTTATTTCAGTAATTTAGCTGTGTTTTTAAATCCGATAAAATTTCGGCGCGCAGTTCAAATGACTAATATAATATATATGCATATAGTATATACAAATTCACATTGAATTATTTAAGCATTAAAAAGATTCAGCTTCAATCACGGCCATTTTCTATTTCCTATTTGTGTATTGAGTTTAAAAATAATTATATTCTTTTTTTCTAAGATTATTGAATACTCTCCATATTTATTTTTGAAGATCTTTTATCATATTTGATTTATTTGATTTATTATTTTTTAAATTACAATCTAGATACACAGACAATTTTTTTAATACTTAAAATTTAATAAAATTATGTTTTTTATCTCAAGATTTAAAAAGTGAGACAGTTTAGAATAATTATTTTTTATTTTGTATTTTATTTCGAAATATTCGTCGTTGAAATTTTGTATAAATCAATCAGGCTGATTGCACCGACATGCACTGAAATCTTAAGAAACGTAAAACGTAGAAAATTGTATCGGCATCTGACGCATAAAAAATTTATTGCATCGGTGGCGATGCAGTTTAAACAGATCTACGTCGAGGAAAGCTCATCTTCAAAATGCCCCAGTTTGGTCTGGGCGTAACCACCTTAGCTTTAGCGACCTTAAACCAACCTACTAGCCATCTGGGAAAACAGAGTGTGAGAGAGAGAGAGAGAGAGAGAGAGAGAGAGAGAGAGAGAGACATATAGTAGATGGAATCCGTGGCGGCTTTATGGCCGACATAAACGACGTAATGTGGAAACCACCTTCGAATAGGGAAGGATATGTAGGTCGTACATAACACTCGGACGCACAAATCACGTAAATCCTAGCTGGCTGAAATGCGACGGCGGTAGCGATAAATATGATTTGCAACCGAATTGCATGATAGCTAGTATAAAACAAACGCGAGTCAGGACAAGTCACGCGAGAATGATTCAATTCGACGTTGATCCAAAGTCGAATTGGGATTAATCATTTATGGTGGAGAACAATTATCTGTATAAAATACAAATCGATTTCATACGCACATAATCTTCATTTTTCGTTCATTATTGAATTTAGAGTCGATTTTTCAAGCCAGAATTTAAGCACAATATATTTTTGTACGTTTTTAAAAGTTTATTCTTTAAATTATTAAACATTTGATATTACATTATTTCTTTATGTTCTATTTTTTTCTCTACTGATAAATTCTTGAAAGATATTCTTTAATCTAATCTTTGGGAAAAGTTTAATTCTATTTTTTGTTTTAAATTCGCGTTCATTTTCTCTTATCATAAGAAGTTTTATCTTCATTTTCAGTGCTCATCCGACGAAGAAGATGGTCATAAAAAGATTAGTCAAGGACGGTCGACTAGAAATGACCACCGGAGGCTGGGTCATGACTGACGAAGCGACTTCTCACATTTATGCTATGCTGGACCAACTCATTGAAGGTAAATAAAAGTAACTTATATACTCATTTCAGAACATTAAATTAGGAATATTTGTTACAAATATTTGTTGTAAAGTATTTAATTTAACTGCTAAATCTATAGAAAACTTACTCTATAGAATAAACTTACAATTATAAAAGAAAAAATGAATTGGTATTAAATTTCAAAATTTTCTTTAGAAAAAATATTTTAATTTATATCAAATAATATTAATAATATTAATTGATTCTGTTCCTCAACTTATTTTTCGATGAAAAATTGTAGCAAAATAATCATGTAGGACGTTCTAGCTGATTATTATAGAATGTCAAAACTTTTTGCCGCGTTGTTTATCATGCTTGAGTTTCCTACATAATTGTTTTAATACTCCAATAAAATTATTTTCAGATTTACATCTATCTAAATTTTTATTTTATCGAAATACTTCAGCAAAATCATTCTTTAGTATAATATTAATTTTATTTTTCTTAATCATTATACCGAGTATATTATTATATAATAGAAATTATCAAATCTAATACTAGAATCTTGATAGGATAATCTTAATATTAATGTAACACGAGAATTGCTAGAATACGAGTGTAAAATGTACATAAAACTCCGAAAAAAAATGAGATCCATAAAAACGAACGGAAACGCGAAGGATACAAGCTGATGAAAAAAGATTCTCTTCCTTCCGACGCTATAAAAATCAATCGGCGTTTTAAAACTCTATCGACAACCAAAAGGACGTCGGAATTCCGGCAAACCGATAGATAGCTAGGTAGGATATCTCTGGCTGTAGTTTGCTAGCCAAGTGTCGATCGGCAGGAAGCAATAAGGATCTCCACCGATGCACTGCGTGAAAGGGAGAAGATTCGAGTGGATGGAAAGGATTTCTCTCGTCCTGCCACGCGGCAGGACTATGACGAGAGGAAGAGAGGAAAGAGTAATAAGGCGGATGCAAGCAGGTTTCTCAACGGAAAATTGCTCTCCGCCACGTCGTCGTCGTCATCATCGTCTTCTTCGTCCTCTCGGAACCGTCTGATTACGATCCTCCTCTTATTTCTCTTCAACCTTCTCCTCTTTCTCGCAATGAAGAGAAAAGGATCCTTCTCGCTCTTTCGGTTTAATGTTACCACGAAAGATTTTACCACCCTCATGGAAATTTCAGTCGGCTTTGATTACCTTTCCACGGGAAACCCTCTCGCGTGTTGTATCGTCGGGATATCACGAGGTAGAACAGTTTCCCTTACGCAAGGGGAAGGGATGATAATAACTATTATCGTACGTATGTCGCATAGCTGCGGTAGGATTATTGCTAATGTTTGCTAGGTATACCACTACATGTGCCCGTTCTCTGAACATAGCGGAGTTGGGTCAGGCGTACCATGACCTGGTGCAACGTGGAATACGGTGGTTGTCTTGTGGAGTATTCACGTCGAAAGCTTAATATAAAAAAAAAAGTAAAGCGTTGAGAGAAAAGAACAGCTCGGAAAGAATTACTTTCATGCGATTATTAAAAAACGTGTCAAGCGTAAAGGAGGGACTTATTAATTTAATTTCATATCTCTTAATTAGAAACTACAGTGGGAATTTGACACTAGAGTGGGAATTAATTCCTCTGGAGTGAATTATGTACAAAACATAAACGTCATATCTTATTAACGTTATTGATTATAGAAAATGTTTTCAAATAAAAAGATATTTTTCAAAATTATGTTTTTTTTAGAAGACAGCTTGAATTTTTTTTTAAAAAAAGAACAATTATTTTGAATGTATGATAATCTAATTTACGTTTATATTCATACTTTAAACGAAAAGGATATTTTGCTGAAAATCTAAAAAAGTTAGATCTAAGATAAAATTAGTTAGATCTAAGAATAATTTTTTGTTGGACTATTAAAATAATTAGATGGAAATCGCTGTATGATGTACCTCAAACTAGTTACTGTGTTCGAACTTTTCGCAGCATTTCTCGTCATGCTTGAGATTCTTATGTACTTATATTGATAATTTAATAAAATTATTTTCAAATCTAGTTAAATTAAATTTTTAGATACTTTAGCGCAAAATCATTCTTTCCGTGTAAAATATGAATGTAGGAATGACAATTAGATACTCAATTTTATCAATTTATGATGTTTTAACTTATAATTCATTTTCTTTTCATATCGAATTTCCTTTTTTGGAAACGATTTTATTTTTTGAAATAATTTCATATTACATACGATAATGGTGATAAATATAACTTTACGATAAACGTTGGAATATTTCGTACAATTTTATGAAACAACATGACCATCTCGGTAATATTTAATTGTCACTCTCTTCGCATCATATTCCCAACATTTTAGGAAACAAACATTGTCACCGCATATCTCTTGCCTCCGAATGATCCGCCGCGCCACGCGCATGTACGCAACGCGACGCAACGCGACGTACTAAACACGGCGTTACGGGCGATGCGAAATTTCCGCGAGCAACGTACGATCATTAACAGCGGACGAAGGGGAGCGACGACAAAACGTACACCATGTTATGACCTGTCGTCGCGCAGTTTCCACGCGCGCGTAACGCGTGTACAAGTGAGAGGAACGAGAGTCCTCGAACACGCCTGGTGCGCCTGCTCTCGCCCAAATAATGCGTTCGCTCGCTCGCTCTCTTCTGTCAGCGCGTCTGCATAAAATAATTGTCGTCGCGCGGATCTAACAGCTTGTTTTTGCACGGACGACATATTCATTGCCGGCACAAAAACCGAATCTTCTATTGTGCGCGGTACGCAACGACGAAGGTTCTCTTTTCCGCGTACGCTAATATATCCGGGCTTTGTGTGGTCCGCTATTAAATAGTCCTCCTCGTATAACGAAGAACGGGAACATTTCCTTTTATCTTCATATTAAACTCGTGGTCTAACGCGAAATTTTTCATAACAAATATGCATGCTTTTCGTGCTTGGCGAACCAGAATGTGTTATCTTTGAACTATTGCTCCTCATTTATTCGTTCATATTTGCAAAATGTATATCCTGCAAAGATTGCAGCACAAAAAGAAATAGATATTATATAATAAAAAATATTCCTATATCGTTAGATTATTAAATTTATTTCAAAGAATTAATAACTCGTGTTTTTTTTCATATTTTATTGGATTATTTATTCTCTTGTCAATACTCAGATATTTATGATCAGTTATTGCGAAATATATTAATAATATTCAAAGATTCTTTATTACATAGTAACGTTACTGTCACATTTGTCACTTTTGAAGTTTTTTTAGTTTTTTTTTTTTTTTTTTGAAGATCGATGACTCTTGTCGAAAATTGTATATTGAAAAAAATGTACTAAATTTTAATAAATAAATTTGTTTAAATAGCACTAACTAAACGTTTACTTATAATAAATAAATATTTACTCAATTAAAAAAACAAATATCAAATAAATATTCTTGTACTAAATAAATATATATATGTTTATATTTAGTAAATAATACTATTCAAACAAATATATAATTTAGAATATTTCTTTTTCAGTATTTTGCGAAATTGGCAAAACTGTTATCCTTTTTTTAACACTCTTTCTAAAAAAAAAAGATCAAATGCAACCCATCTGTCGAAATTTTTTTTCGAAACCAGAAAAAAATGGGTGCATTTAAAAAAGTTCATCAGAATTTTGAGCGGTTAACTGGAGATTTTTTCTGATTGGCCAGAGAGAGAAAAAGAGAGAGAGAGAGAGAGAGAGAAAGAGCACAGAAATTTCGTTCAAAAAATCGAAATCTCCGGTTGAAAATTGAAGAGATGGCAATTGTGATTACCGTTTGTGGAATGAACTAAGACCAAAGATGATAAATGCATAGAGCACGAATTATGCAACGTTCAATGTCGCGACGCGGGAGAACGCGCGTCGGTCTCTCAATGGTGATTTTGCGGGCGTGCGAACATTTGCGATTTTGCCGTGGCACCGTGGTATTAAATTGAAATAATGGCGCTCAGGTGTATTAACTCCTAATTATTAGGCCACTGAATATGTATGGCGCGACGCGCGTTCGCGCCTAGAACGTTAAATTGCCAAGTTCGGCGCGACTGCCGTTAACAACTGTAACGCACTAAACTGCTGCTGCACTGGATATCCGATATATTGGTGAACGCGTATATTTTCAGGGGGAGGGGGTGCATTATACCAATGACCGCCGCATCGACGCAAATATTCCGGGGCGATATTCGCGATTGCGTAAACGGAATCCCCCACGCTGTAAACACGAAAGTCCGGCGTACTATCGTCGATTTGCCGCGAGTGTGCATAAACCGCGCATAAATTGCGTGCATTAATCGTCGAAAACGCAAACAAACGACGTTCGTGCGCGCGATTACGATTAACGAATCAACATTACTACCGCTTTTAAATCGTGGATTAATAAATCCACGAACATTTCCTCGAACTTGAGAGATTTTTCGATAATACGTTATTTTTAAATTTTGATCTTATTTCAACATTATAATTATAAACACTGTCGATTTGTAGTCTCATCGAAAATTTGTTTTGAAAGTTGAAAGAATGAAAAAGTCGTGTAGTATACGAATAACAACACGTAACAATAATGTGTAACAATAGCTCGTATTGAATAAATTCTTTATAAAAAATATAGTTTAAAATATGAACCATCAAAACATTTTTTCGAAAAATCAAGAATTAAAATTAGAAGATGTAAATTTATTATTATAAAAATAATGTTATATATAACAATGTAAAATAATTTTAAATAA